GATGTGTTTTGAAGAAAACAGGAAGATGACTAATTTAAATTGGGTGGTCAGTTGAAACCTACTGAGGAGGTTCGAAGCAGGACCTGAGTGAAGAAGACAGACGCAGTCTTACAGTGATTAAGGGTAGAGGGAACAGCATGCGCAGGAGCCCCTCACTGATTTCTAGGAACAGATGAAAAGGTGAGCGTGGTTGAAGTGTGGTCGGTGAGAGCAGCGAAATGCGAGGAAGGAAGCGGAGAGGCAGGCGGAGACCGGTCATGAGGGGCTAAGGCTTTGGTAAGGAGTCTGAAATTTACACTGAATGCAGTGGGAAATTATTGGATGGGATTAACAAAGAAAAATAGCACAACTTAACTTTTAAATAAAAGATTACTTTGGCTACTGTGTAGAAAATTTGTCAAGGGTGACGCATGGGACTGGGGAGACCAGTGGAAAGTCACTTAGAGTGGCCAGGTGAGAGCATGGCTGCCACGGTGGAGACACTGGCGAAGGAGAGAAGTAGGCGGATTTGAGTCTGTCTGGGAATAGAGCTGGTGGGCCTTGCTCAGTATTGTGTATGAGAGACTGCAGAAGAGAGGGAAGTCAAAGTTGACATTTTGGGTTTTTGACTTGAGCAACTGGGCAGAAGATGTTGCCATTTATAAAGGTTGACAAAAAGGGTCAGGCAAATTTAGGGGGAATGTTGAATGTTCTAGTTTGAAATGTTCTGTCTGAGCTACATGTAAAGATGTCACATAAGCAGTTGGGTGTATGAGTTTGGAGCGAGGTGAAGAGGTTTGGGACGGATATATACATTTGTGAGTCCTTAGTGATTAGCATTTAAAGCCATGGGGCTATGTGAGATGACCAAGTTGGAAGTAGGACTGGGTCCCGGGACCTGCACACAAAGGCCTTGAGAGCGGAGGAGGAGCCGGTGAAGGTGGCTGAGAGGCAGCTGGTATGTGGGAGGGAAATGGGGTGGTGGGGGCAGTGGGTAGATTAGATCTGGGACCTGCGTGTTAAGAAGTCAAAAGTAGAGTTTCGAGAAGGATTGATCTGGTTGAATGATGCTGAGAGAGAAGGGAGTAAGGTGAGATCAGGGTGATAACCCTGTGCATTAGTTTTCTGGGGCTGCTCTAACAAATTACCACAAATCTGATGGCTTGAAACAGTAGAAATATGTTCTGCTAAGTTTCTGGAGCCTATTAAGCCCAAAATCTGGCAGAACTGCCTTCCTTTTGGGCAGCTTTAGGGAAAAACCTGTTCCTTGCCTCTTTCCACTTCCAGTGGCTGCTCCAGCATCCCTAACTTTGTGACCACATTCCTCCAGTCTCTGCCTCCACCTTCATTTTGGCTTCCCCTCACTGTGTCTTTCCAAACTTTCTTTGCCTCTCACAAAAGCATTTCTTTTTTATTCCCCCACAAAAGCATGTCTAAGCCATTCATTCAGGGCCTACCACGATAATACAGAGTAAGCTAAAAATCTTTAGCTTAATTTTTGTGGAAAGACCTTTCCCCAATAAAATGAATTTCATGGATTACAAATTTCAGGGATTAAGATCGGACATCTTCAAATTTGGTTTTAGAAATATGGTGGCTGTTGGATGTCTCAGAAAGAGCAGTTTCTTTGGAGCAGTGGAGACAAGAATCAGATTGGTACAAACATAATTTGGCCCTTTCTGTTGATCAGTGCTAGCTGCAGATGTTTCAGTTTTCGGTGCATCTCATCAACTTGCTGAGCATACTTCTCAGATGTAATGGTTTCACCGAGATTCGGTGCAAGTTTGGCTTTGGGAAGTGCTTTGAAGCTTCTTTTTGGTTCAGCCACTGAGTTGGTTATTGCTGGTTGTCGTATAGAATTCACTTTTTGTTGCATATCAATCCAATCAAGAAATGATTCGTTGTTGTTGCATAAAAAAGAAGAGGTCACTTCAAAACGATGATGTTTTTGATTTTCGTTCAGCTCATGAGGCACCCACTTAATGAGCTTTTTCATCTTTCCAATTTGCTTCAAATGCTGAACGACTGTAGAATGGTCAACATTGAGTTCCTTGACAACTTCTCATGTAGTTGTAAGAGGATTAACTTTGATGATGGCTCTCAGTTGGTCATTGTCAACTTCTGATGGCTGGCCACTACACTCTTCATCTTCAAGATTCTTATCTCCTTTGCAAAACTTCTTGAACCACCACTGCATTGTACGTTCATTAGCAGTTCTTGGGCCAGATACGTTGTTGATGTTATGGGTTGTCTCCACTGCTTTATGACCCATTTTGAACTCAGGAAAATCGCTTGAATTTGCTTTTTGTCTAACATCATTTCTAAACTCCATCTAATGTCATTAGCAAAGAAAAATCAAGTGAGAAATGTGCATTAAAATGATGTATGACATAACCACGCTTGTTTGAGAATGTGCTCCAATATCAAATGGCAAATTTCAACAATGCAAAAACTACAGTTACCTTTGAACCACCCAGTATATCTCTTTCATACTTGCTGCCACATAGAGTACTTGAAGTAGTCTGTCCAAGACTTTGCAGGATAATCACACTATGTTTTTTGTTAGTTGTATGTGTGTGAGTAGCTTCAAGTTTGATGTGTCAAACATGAAAAAGGAGCAAGGGTCTCAGAAGCCTCTGCCAATTTTTTCAAGTTCACTGTTGCTGACATATGGGATCCAAGTTGTTATTACCAGTAGCTTTTAATTCTATAGCCAAAATCTGGGTTCTTTCAGATTTTAGACATCTCTGTTTTGATTAATAATATCAGTATCTGTGTTATTTGTTTCATAGCCTGATTGATAACTGTGTTGCTGAAAAGTTCCTACTCAGAAAGTAGAGTGGATATAATATATGGATATAGTGGGTATATATGCATCAACCATATGAAGTGAGTATAATGCATCAACTATCTGAAGAGAGAGAAAGGCAAGGGGGAAAAATGCTCCATTGCCATTTTTTCTCACCACCTTGTGAAACACAGGTTTCACATGCTACCTTGGTTCTGTGCTGCCCTCAGGTCTTCTCTCAGGCTCTCTGTGATTCCTGCCGGATCCTGGGGAGTAGCCGAGGATAAACGGTTACCTCTGGCTCTCTGTGGCAGCGCAGGGACAAGAGATGGTGACCGCGTCAGGAGGAGACCTTCCTCCTGGGGATCGTTCTAGCAACAAAGAAATTCCTTCATCCTCAGTTCCTCCTTGGGTTGCAACCGAAATGACTGGCAGCCTTGGGTTGCTTTCCTGTGTATCTTACGTATATTTGGAGAGGAGGGCAGGGGTTGTGCTTCCTCCAGATGAAAGGCTTTACTTTTTCCATGTGCTGCCTGATTACCATAGATGAAATCTTCAGTTGTGGGATCATTCTCCCAATCCCCCGGAGTGTGTTCCCTCTCAGCTTCTGTACTGAGGCAGGGGCCCTAGTTCAGCATGATGAAAAGAACACAGGCTTTGGAATTAGACCAGGTTCATCTCCTTAAGAGTGCTGTAACCTAGGAAAGTTATATACCCTCTTGGAGCCTCAGTTTGCTCTTTGGTAAAATGAGGTTAAAGGAATTTGGTATTATGCTTACCACGTGGTGGGCATGTAATAAATGTTAGATGTCACTTTAACTCATCTCTTTGTCCATTTTTAAAATTTTTATTCATTTTATTGATACTGAAAACTTTCTTACCACCCTTGATGTCTTTATATTAGCCCATGGGGTTGCAGAGAGTTGGACACAACTGAGTGCCTAATGCCTGTCTACACAGCATCTCTTTTGGGATAGAGAACTCTCATGTCCTCTTCTTGCCTCCTTTCACAACCCGTCTCCTCATTTTATCATCCTGTGACAGTTACTGACAGTTAGATCTTGGGTCTCAGTACATTAGAAGACAAGCATAGTCGTCAGGGAATACTTCCTGAGGGAGGCTCTCATTGATTGTAAAGTTTACTAAGGAGGGCAAAAGATTGTTGCCATATTCCATGTGTACGAGTGGCTCTGGGTAAAGGCTCAGATATTGGAATGAGGCTGTAGATAGGTCAGTTTACTCAACCAAGAGTATTCTAGAAGGTTTTTGTAGTTCGTATGGCTTTTGGAGTTAGCTCAGACCCTAGGTCAGATGCTTCCTCTGCAGTCAGTTCCCCAGCAATGTGACCATGGGGAAGCTGCTCACCTGTTAAATAGGGATGAGACTGTATGTCCTTGATTTCTAAGACCACTCCGTTTAATAACTCCTTGGAGGACATGGTGGAAACATTTCCTCTTTAAATTATTTATCACTTGTAGCCAGTTCTATGGTGTTTCCTAGTTGTAGAAATGTTAATGTGACTTTTAAAAAAAGTGTATTTTAGAAACAAAGCAATATGGTAATACTCAGTCTCGGGATGTTGGGAAAATTAATAAGATAGCGTATGTTAAGTGCCCACCCCAGTTTAGTATTCAGTGAGTTGTAGTTATTATTAGCAGATGAAAGGACATGAAAAATAATTTGGGAACATCTGTAAAAAATTTTAAATGACAAGGTAATAATGTGACCAGGATTTGAAATTAGACTAGAATGAGGGGAAAGAAGACAAAAGTTCAAGTAATATTATAGAGGAAATCGAGTGTGTAAATCAGGAGCAAGTTTTACCACTTTATGGGTAAAATTTTCCCTTTTTTGATGAGTTTGTGGTATATGTTCCTTTATAAACAGAGGGAATGTGGCAGTCCTGGGATAAATTCATTCTTTTGTTATATTTTGGGCTTTTTACAGTCTTCCTGAACTTGCCACCACATAAGCTGCTAGTCACAAAAAATAATGTATTGGCTAACTCATACATAACAAACATGTGCTTTATATTGTTATTTTACTTTTGTCTTGTTTTTGTTTTGTTATGGGGGAGGGGTGGCTGGCTGGCTAGGGATTTCTCATTAGTTTATTAGTTTAGTTCCTTGGCCAGGAAGATCTTGGCCTAGATTTCAAACATCTTTATGTTTTGATTAGAGTGATAACTGAAGTTTTAGCTCTTCTTTCTTTTCTTTCTTTTTTTTTGCCCCAGGTCCAGCAAGACTATGAACCTCTGTTCCAAATGCTTTGCTGGTAAGTGCAGAAAAAGGGTTTTCAATTTATTTTTATTTTTCTTCTTTCGGTGGTTTTTAAGACCGTCTAAATTATTTTAAGACTGTCTGTCTTCTTTTGGGTTTATGCATGGGTTTTTATTTTCTTTGCTTGTGTGTGAAAGCAGTTTCTATTCACCAGGTTGCTTTATATATTTATGTAGAGCTGTTGAAACAGTCTTCTCTGAGTGAATTGAAATCTTATGTGTACTTGTATCAAGCAAACTTTTCTCAGTTTACGGTTGTTGGACTATAGTAGAATTGTAAACACTCACGTTATAGTAGGGCTTTACTTACATGTACACATATATATATATTCATCTTTGATGTTGACTTGAATGATTAATGGTGAAGGTTGCTTTTATCAATGAGAATACAAGAGAAAGAATATTTTCGTGTTGGAGTCAGAAAGAGAATAATGCTGAATTGACTTTTCTAATTCAGACCCTCATTGAAATCACTTTGGGTAAGTCACTTAACCTTTTTGGGCATTAGATTGATCATTTGTAACATGAAGGGCTTAGGCTTGATGTTTGCCAAGGGCCGTTTCCACCCTGTAAATGCTAATTGATTGACTCCTTGAGTTATGACTCCTTCATGAAGTTAATGGGCTTTCCTCATAGCTCAGTTGATGAAGAATCTGCCTGCAATGCAGAAGACCCTGGTTTGATTCCTGGGTCGGGAAGATCCCCTGGAGAAGGGAACGGCTACCCACTTCAGTATTCTGGCCTGGAGAATTCCATGGACTAGTCAGTCCTTGGGGTCTCAAAGAGTCGGATATGACTGAGTGACTTTCACTTTCACAAAGTTAAAACTTTAAGATTTTTTGTTTGTTTTTAAGAACTCCACATCTAATGATCTTATGTAAGTCTTTATTAATTGGGATATGTTTACTGTTCATTATTACCTTTTTAAATTATTATTTTGTCAAAGACAAACCAGCACACAAGTTAGGGTAAGGACAGATTTTACTCAGTAACACACTGCTACAGTAGGGAAGAGGGGACTTGTCTAGAGGGAACTGGGCATTTTAAAGGGAGAGTGAGGGAGTAGGGGAGGGATTGCTAGCTTGTCTCAGGATGATCAGGGGAGTAGAAAAATCACAAAGGGCTGGTTATTGTAAATGATGATTAGCCTGGCTGTGTCTGTTAGTTGACAGTTATTGAAGTTAGGATTTTATCCTCCTACGGAGACTGAGAGATTGAAGCCCTGTTCTTCCCAGTGATTACAGCTAGAGAAATGGCTTTCATGTCCTTGAGAAGGACACTACTGAGTGATTGAGTTGTAGGAGATACACATACATCTCATGGGGGATGAAGGAAGGATTCACATTTTAAACCATTTTAAGTAAATCCTGTAGGATGGGGTAGTCAGGGGCCTATGGTCAGCTTTTGGCTAGAACAAATCTTAAATTCTTTTGGCAGCTTTGAGTTTTCGCAGAGAGGCACTTTAAATAAGAGGGACTAGGACCATCCTCGGGATGGGTCCTTGAGCTGTTAAAAAACTGTATTAGTGGTTATTTAAATCTGTTAGCATAGGGGGATATGAGTATATGAAATCATTTGTGTTGAGACTCTAGTTTTTATAGGCCAAGGTTGAGGCATGGTTGAGAAGAGGACAGACTCTGGCTGGAATTTGGTTGAGAGAATCTTTGTCAGTATTCATCTTCTCTTCACTGTGCTACTGGACAAAGAAATAATCATAGTGTGATCTTTAGACCTTTATGCCTAAACTAGGGGATAGATTGGATGGAGTTGGGAAGGTTGGGAAAGTTGGCAGTTTGTTTCTGTTAAAAGTCTGGAATTTCTCAAATTATTTAGGTTTTTAAAAGGAAAAGGTACTGCTAAGTGGTTTTTATTCAGCTTTTAACAGAATCTCTGCCATGTTAAGCGAATGTGTTCTGCTTTTCTTGCTCTGCTTGTCTGCAGTAACAGATATGAAGAAATGCTTTCTCACTGGTGAGAGGTTATGGCTCAGATGGTAAAGAATTTGCCTGCGATGCAGGAGACCCAGATTCAGTCCTTGGGTTGGGAAGATCCTCTGCAGAAGGGAATGGCTACCCGCTCCAGTATTCTTGCCTGGGGAATTACGTGGCCAGGAGCCTGGCCAGCTACAGTCCATGGGGTTACAGAGTCAGATGTGACTGAGAGACTTAGCACTTTCATGTTTGCATTTGTAGTAAAGATGGAGTAACAGTGAGAGAAAATGTATATTGTGTGTCTTTCCCCATGTAAAACTAGTTCCCCCATATAATTGAGTGAAGTGTAGCTGGGAGGAAAAGTCAGGTCACCTTGAGTCAGATGGTTCACGTCCAGTACTCAAAGAACTGTCTCATGTCCTTAAATAAATATGAAATTTAAAAATTATCAATGAAGGTAGTTCAGCCATGTTTCTTTGGATTTGTTACAGTTTTATTTTCTATGGTTATCATTGTTTTTTGAATCTCTGGTGGTCTGTGTCCATTTACTCTTTATAAAGCTCTGTTGTTTTTGCTTTTAAAAATATTGAGAATGTTTTCAAGTGTGTAATGAAAATGTTCTCTCCTTTCTTCTTTATCTCTACCCCTCCGCTCCTGATTTCCCCAACCTCAGTTGAAAGGAATGACTCATAAACAACATCTTGCTTGCTGAAGCAGCATTTGGTGTTCTTTCTGAAATTCAAAAGAAAAAAGATTATTGAACTTTAAAGATACAGTGGTGGATTTTGCTAGTGCATGAAGATAAAGTATAGAAATGCATTATTGCAGCAGAGGCATGAGGTGTTCAAGACAACATGAAGATTTCTTTGTCCAAAAGCCACTGTGACTTTAAATAGTCTAAAGTGTACAATATACTTTAAAAGGTGGAAAAGTTACTTTAAAAATAGTTGTTGTGTACCATTAGGTTAGTTAGAGATTTTTCACGATTCATTTTCAGAACTATGTGGTGGGAAGGTGAGTTTGTTACAACATATTTGCATTAAATTGAATGAAATGAGTAAAAACATATTTAAAGTCTTGACTAGTTTTTACTTTTTCTACCCCCTTTATAATACGTTACTTGCCATACTATTGTTTTTCGTTAAACATTTCGTATTGGCTTTTTGTATGGCTTTACTTAACAAATCAGTAAATATTTATAATAGAAAGCAAAAAATTTCATGACATGGTACTGATCATTATATTAGGATGATATAAACATTTTATTGGTTGAAACACTACATTTTAATGCAATTTTTCAAACTGTATATTGTGGATCATTAGTGGATATAGAAATCAATTTAGCATTTAAAATTTGAGTACAGTGGAAAACAGTCTGAGTGCATCACAAATATCAAGGGTAAGGTATTATTTGTGAAATTTCTGAGATACATATATAAATGAGAGTGACGTGCAGTGGGTTGTGTGATATAAATATGTTACAGTGGAGTATGGTTTAAAAAGTTTAAAACCACTGAATTGCAGAATTTCATTGGAAAGTCATTGAGTTACTGGAGATCTCATTCTCTGTGGAAAATAAGGCATATTTCCTTTCAATTTTTAGGCAAGGTGTTAACCAGCTGATTTCTTATGATCTTTGTTCACTCTGAGCTCTTGACTAATTTGGATTATGTAATTTTCTGTGTGGAAGCATGAACTAATCCCGATTGCCTTGAGCCTATGTTAAGGTATACAAAAGTTCAGGCATAGCATCTGAAGGGTGGTCTTGCCTCTTACAACTATAGAAATACCTGGGGTGTTATTTTCTGTTTGAGTGCAAACTCATTTTATGAATTTTTGAGTTTTAGATACCAACTGATCTAGATTTTTAGGGACATTTAGTATCAAATTCACAATGACCGCCTATATTACACTGTATTGAAGCTCACCTATCATTAAAGCAATGCTTTTCACAGAATGAGTTTGCCGAAAAAATATGTATGACAGAAACATCAAACAGGATGATCACAAGTAGGGAAGGCAGAGATTTTAATGACCTGACTGAAGTAACTCGTCTCTACCATCCTTGGCAATGTGGGGGACAGAGGAGTTTGGTAACCAGAGAGTAGCTGTGATCTATGGACCATTATACTTTACAAGGGAGTGAGCTTGAAGATAGTTTCCAAGGGATGGGAGATTGTTTCAGTAGATTCTTTGATGACAGGTGCTTATCAGAAGACAAACTTAACAAATGCTGAGTGTAAAAAGAACCAGTTTGTTCTTGTGGACCTTTAGATTGCATATATGTGGTTTTTAATAACTTTTAGCGATTTCTTAAAAAAAAAAGTACCCTGAAATGTCTATTTATTGACTGACAAAAGTACTTCATTGCAAAATCAAAGTAAGCAGGTTCTTTTAAACTGCAGACATGATTTTGAACATATTGTTCCATTTAAGCCTAACTTTTAAGAAACTTGCTATTCCGTGATTCACATAAAATCGGGAAAATAAGGGAGGGATGATTAATCACAGTGCAAGAAGTTGTTTTCTAAGCCTTTTATAGAATTGTGTATGTGTATGCTAAGTTGCTTCAGTTCTGTCTGACTTTTTGCGACCGCATGGACTGTAGCTGGCCAGTCTCCTCTGTCCGTGGGATTCTTCAGGCAAGAATACTTGCGTGGGTTACCATGCCCTCCTCCAGGGGATCTTCCTGACCCAGCAGTCATATCTCCTGTTCCTGCATTGCAGGCAGATTCTTTACTGCTGAGCCACTAGGGAAGCCCATTTTACAGAATATTTCCTTTAAAAAGTAATACTTTTAATGCATTACTATGTCAGTTTACACAAAGGGGTAAGACTAGAAGAAGTAAAGTATGAGGGGTGTCTTGTCAGTTGAAGATTAATTAAAGCCTATAAATCATCTCTTAAATTATAAGCTAATGGTTAATTTAATTTTCTGAAAATTAGTTTCAGTGTAACTTTTCAGATATATATTTCTTAGTGGAAAGGTAGTTAAGCATACTTTTGCTTCGTAATTAGTTGTGTCTTGTGCCTTGTTAGTGGTGAAGAACATTGCGATAAAGAAA